GAACCAAGATTAATATCCATAACAATATTGGACGGATGAAATTATACTCAATTTTTTTTATAATATCAAGTGACGGGACGAAGAAGTCGTGCCCCTGGTAGAAAGCTACATGCCTGTCCATGACAGTTGCGGTGCCACTCAGAGCTTTAAATCGCAAAGATCCGAGGGGCACCGCCACTGCGCCTGTCACACTGAGACATAAGTTGACATGTCCCATGTAATTAAGTTAGCTGCTTCGTAAAAATGTCAAAGACAGAGAGTAAATGGGCTTGCACAAACGTTCAAATAAGGGCTCGTGCATAAAAGTGTTAATAATAAAAAAATATTTTCAAGAAAATAAAAGTGGCAGGCCAAATAATCACAGATGGCTAGCATATAAAGAAAACAACAAGGTCTGCACCGCATAGATGTAAGAGTCAACTAAGTAGCTTGAAATTATGAATGTGGCTTATCTCTTACCATCACGTGCGTTTGTGTTTCGCAGTGTAAATAGTACTCGGTGGCTCACTTAAATAAGTCGATTTATTATTTTACGATTTTCACACATCGACGTTTCGGACGTATTGCAACGTCTGTGGTCTCGAAGGGACAGGACCCGTCGTATTGCAACATCCATGGTCAGGGACTGTCCCTTCGAGACCATGAACGTTGCAATACGTCCAAAACGTCGAGGTAAATAGAATATGTTTTTATACACGATTAAGTCCCGAATTTTAAATCAAATAACTTAAATAAGAAATAGAAATCAAGAGATTTTGAAAAATATTTATTGTATTTCTTCAGTTGTTTAAGATTTTTCATTATAATTATTAATACAAAGATCGAGTACTCAGAAAAAATTCCTTCGATCCGGCCGGATTCGAACCGACGTCTTCTAGCTTACCGTGCCAGACGCTATACCAGCTAAGCCACGGAACGAACCAGCGGACCTCACGAATTTTTCTATGTGCTTGCGTCGTATCTTTGTATTTGTTTTTTTCAATTACTTTTATAGTCGTAGCGCCATCTATGAGAAGTCTATGAAAGTTTTATCACCCAGTTAGATATCTTTACAGTTACCAGTCCTGGCGAGAGATGTCGCTATTCAATTCTTCATTATCTTCTTTTTTCTTCTTATTGTATCGATGACGTACAGTAAAATGTTTACCTTCGTGAAAGGATTCTTCTTCTTTTAAATGTTATGGTCCCAACGAAATAATCGATGATTCTGCCGACGAGAAGTAAAAATTACTATGTACGGTAGTTTTGTAAAAGTCATATAAAAATTATGGCAGAGGTGTAAGTATTTGCCAATCAACGTAAGATACTCGCAGGAACGCACGAGGCATATGCACTCCTTGTGTACGACCTTAGCCCGTTCGAATTACGCAAAACGCTCTGTTTTGCAAAGAATAGTACGCACTTATGAGGATAGATTTAGAGACGTGGACATCTTCCATTTAAACCGCACTCAATTTCTAAACATATTGAAGGATCACCCCCAGTTTAGAAGACAATAATTATCAAACAAACAGAGCACAGACACACACACAAACACACACAACACTAAAACATACTTACACTTACACCTTTATAATTTATATAATAATAATGTTATATTTGTATGTAATAATTTAATAATATGTAGATTACCATTCATTTAAGAACTTAATGTAAATTTTCAACATGTTTGTTTTTCGATTAGGCTATAGATTAACGCTAGATAAAGTAACGCTATAATTAAAATGTAATATGACAAACTTTGTTATTGGCTATATACGTATATTATTATGATTGTAAACGAAAATTAAAAAGCTGTAAAGTTTGCAAATAAACAAATAAATAAATAAATAAATAAAAAGGTTGTTGCCCTGGGTGCGCCAAACGGACCTACGGTAACCTATTGTAAACTCGATTTTTTTCCGAAATAACGTTTGTTCGAATTTTCATTACACCGAAAACCGAATTATAACGAAATCATTGTTCTTTCAGGATATGTTGGATGTTTATCACAAAGACGCGATTACGTTCGGTTAGGTTAGGTTTAAAAGAAAAAACATCTTCCTCTCAAAATTACTTTCGAGGTTACGAAAATTCGAGCAAAGGTTATTTCTGGAAAATGTCGTTCCGGACTACTGATAGGCAACCTCGGGGAGGCTCTTTTCATGCACCCTAAGTTTCATCATCATAAAGTCGAACCACCTTTAAGAAGAGGGTTTAGAACTTAGTCCACCATTCTGGCTGGCCCAGTGCTAGTTGGGGACTTCAGATGTTTTCCAAGGGTTACGAACCTTCTTCGACATGCAGGTTTCATCACGATGTTTTGCTCCACCGATAGGGAAAAGTAGTGGCTACTCAAGAGGGACGGCTGACAAATAAACCACCTAAGTATGAAATAAAAAAGACTGTCAAGGAAATGCACTTATTTTATTTGCTTGCCCTTGCCTGTTAACATTAGTTTTTATTGTTTGGGACCAACTGATCGGATGAACAAGTCGTATTCAATTACAACCCTTAAATAATAAGAAGGTACAGGGGATCACACGATACCCGGCTTTGGGCTCATTCGGGTTCTGTTGCAAATTTAAACCGACCACGGGTTCAGAAGCTACACAACCATATTTTCGCATATAATACATACGTATTTTATTTAAGCTCTATATACCAACATAGTTTTCTAATGTGAAAGCGAAAGCTTGGTAATATCCTTGAGCCTATAGTATAAAAAAACAGGTCAATAATGGGCGTAGCCTCCTTAGACATTACTGAACATTTTATCTTAATATTGTACATTATATATACTTATGAATAACCCATCAGAGTCTAGTAATGCGGAAAGTGTTATGTCGAAAACATACTGGAAACCTGCTTTTGTTATGATACGACTAAATGGGATGAACGAATCGTATGCCTAGTGTTAAGCAACACGCCATGGTTGCAGAGCCACTCAGAACTTTAATTCGCAAAGATCTGACAGACACTGCCATCACTTTCTTCACGATGTTTTCTTCCACCGATAGGGACAAGTAGTCGCTACTCAGGAGGGGCGGCTGACAAATTAACCACCTACTTTACGTTTCAAAAGCGGAATGCAGTAATTGCTAATTTATAAACAAGATCATTGATCTTAATTTCTTCTTCCGACACGTTATAAAAATAGAATGCCGCCATTTTCGAAAAAAAAAATAATAACAAATAAGTGACGTAAACAATATTATTATTTTTAAATTGAAATTGTCAAAAGAGATTACTTTTCAGTCAGCCCTTGTATACTTTCTTTTTGTAGCTGAGACTCTATCGATGTTTAATGACGATTCCTACTGTTGTTTTTACAGGTTGTGAAAATGATGATTGTGGTGGTAGTAATATTCGCTGTATGCTGGCTGCCGTTCCACGTATATTTCGTCGTGACGTCGTACTACCCTGACGTGGTCAACTACTCGCACATCCAAGAGATCTACCTGGGCATATACTGGCTTGCGATGAGCAACTCAATGTACAATCCTATTATTTACTGTTGGATGAATTCTAAGTAAGTAAACTTTAGGAATTTGTTATTTTATTAAGGGCACATCTTTCAAAAGTTTACCTATCAGAAGTCCAAAATGATATTTTCCAGAAGTAACGTTTGCTCGAATTTTCATAACCTCGAAGTAATTATGAGAGGAAAATGTTTTTTCTTTTAAACGTAACCTAACCTAACCAAACCTAATCGTGTCTTTGCGATAAACATCCAACATATCCTGAAAGAACGACGGTTCGTTATTATTCGGTTTTCGGGGCAATGAAAATTCATACAAAGTTTTTTCGGACAAAATAAATTCGAATTTGTGATAGGTTACCCTTTCAAAATTAACGTTGTTGTAACTTCGACGCTTTCAAATTTCTACCAATCGGAAATCACTATGCTGTCATAAAGTTAATCTATATCACAGGATAGATATTCCTGTAGGGCTGGCACGACAGAGCGTGATAAGCGCGAGAGCGACATAAAGCGCGATATATCTATGTGAGAATAGCAGTATCTCGCGCTTTATGTCACTTTCGCAAAAGTCGCGCTCTATTGTGCTAGCCCTACTGATCGAAAAAATGGGTTTGATAGTTGTAGGCAAAAGAATCTTGTATTAAAACATTATGTCACTTCTAAAGCAGCTTCTAACTACCTCTGTAGTCGAACGATTACCATGCTGGTCGGCCACGCAGAGGTCCTAGATTCGATTCCCAGGTCGGGAGATATATTTGTATGACCTACATTTATTTCTGTTCTGGGTTTGGGTGTAATTTGTGATTGTCTATGTGTGTGTTCATAGCACCGCGCTACAAGGTTCCCTTATTGTGTGACTGTGAGTGTGTGCCTTAAAAATAAAAAAGAATAAAGTACTAATTTTTTTCACGGCATTCAGTCAGGGTGCACAAAACTTTGTAATTTGGCAAAATTTATATCCTTTTTTGTCTTTTTGTGCTTTTCATTTTATTACATTCATTCTTATTATTTTTAACCGACTTCAAAACAAGAAGGAGGTTCTCAATTCAACTGTATGTTTTCTTGTATGTATGTTACGCGATAACTCCGGTATTTGTGAATCAATTTTCATGATCCTTTTTTTGTGTGGAAAGAGGGTACCTCCATAGTGGTCCCATTTAATTTTGAAGAAAATCATCCACCTCTAAGGGTGGCTGTTCACGCATGAAGATTCATTTCTATAAATAGCGCCTTAATTTTATTATAAGCAGCAATTAATTTAATGGTTGATTTTGCTATTCTCCAATTCAAGGCGTTTTTCTCTCAATATACTTTGCGTAGTGAGAACCTATTTTTATTATCTCCTGTGTCAAGTCCCGTATAGCGGCGAACTAGGGGATGAATCCGGCTTTGTGCACTTTCCATATAATTGTAAGTCAATGCTTTTAATACTTACATTATCAAATAGCGCTTTATTATACCAAGCTTGCGTTATAATTGTATTCTAATATCGTCGGTGTGTTGTAGAAAGAGCCGAAGCGCCATTTCGAAAAATTTTTCGTGGACGCATATCCTTACATTTTAATGACTGTTTTAAAATATTTACGTCCTGTTTTAAAATTCATTTCGGATTTAATTTAAATAGGTCTACAAAATACCGACATTATCTACAGTAAAGTCTATACTAGCATTAAAGGTCCAAATTTTAATTTAATACATTGTAGAACAAGTATCAAAGAGATTGAATTTCAGTAGTTACATGAATTTAAACGGAATTGAAACCATTTTCTTGTTCTGTAGGAATTACAATAGGACGAGTGGAAAGGAATTTTCTTTTATTGCAGTGTTTGTCGTGACTAGGGAATATAATGCAACTACCAAATAGGTAGTCTGTCTTTTTTAAAAATGTGTAAAATGACATTTGGGTTGCCAGTTTTCACAAAATTTTAAGTAGTCATGTAGTTGTTGTCGACAGTTTTATCGATAGACAGTAAAAGAAGATAAATTTTCCAAAAATGTCTGAATTGTGAATGTTACGACGTTCTGATGATTACCAATTGCGTTATTGCCTCCTTCGTTCTTATTTTAACAGTTGACTTAATAATATATGTAGAAATCAATTTTTATTCATATATATTTTAACAAGAACAGCCGGTTCGTAGGAGTTTTTCTTTTTATTCGATTTTTATATTAATATTTATAACAAAGTAATGAATGCAAGCTTTTTTAACATAAATGTCTATGTGCTTAAACGCTTTTGTAAACGATTTTGTAGCTTCAAACCAAAAAGTATTTAATTGAAAGGCGCTTATAAAAGCACGACGTTTTAACGTTTAAAAAATAATCAGTTTTTCCCATCTCTATATACTGCTACTAATGGAGTAATTTTACAAAAATAACTGAATGTCATGTTACTAAATTTATTCAATAAACTTAATATTCGTATTGTAAATGATCGTGTAATAGAAACTGTAATTATTTTCACATGTTTATTGTCTCTAATAATTTAGACTGCAGCACTTGAATCCAAATTCTTGATATAAATTAAAAATATTTAAGGAAATATTAATTTAACTGTCTACTTAAGAAGTAGCCACGTTGAGGCTACAGGCGCTGTATCGACTACAGTAGGATCGAAGGAATTTTGGATGAAGTAGTTTCATAAAAAATAGATGAATTTCATGGTAGTTAAACCATCACGATATTCAATAAAAATAAAATAAATAAGAAATGCCTTTAATGTAACTCTATTTTGTTTATTGTACTTTGAATTGATGACCTCGGTGGCTCAATGGTTTGCGCATGTGGGATTTTGATTTGGAGGTCCTGGGTTGGATTCCCGGTAGAACCAATTTGGGAAAGAACTTTTATAAATTGGTTCTAGTAATGCTCCAGAGAGAATTCCTTTGTTCTGATATACACCGTACAGGGAATTTTCTAGTTTGAGACCAGGTTATCAGTGTGGTTGTATAGCACATTATTATAAATAACTCAATAAATACCGTTACAATGAAGTCATCACACTGATAGAAACGGAATTGCATTAAACCGGTGCGAAAAAAACTCTAAGTCTCTAAGAACGTCGTACGTTTTGCGTCTGTAGTCTCCTTTGGCGTTAAAAATAAGTATAATTTAACTGCCGCTGTGGTCGAACGGCTACCATGCTGCTCCGCCACGCAGAGGTCCCAGGTTTGATTCTCTTTTTTTATAATATCAAGTGACGGGACAAACAAGTCGTGCGCCTCATGGTACGCTACAGGCCTGTCCACAACAGTTGCAATGCCACTCAGAGCTTTAAATCGCAAATATTTTAGGGACACTGCCACTGCGCCCGTCACCCCGAGACATAAGTTATTAAGACCCACGTGCCTGTAATTTTACGAGCACCCTTACGTTTCAAAACCGGTACACAGTAATGCTGACTTTACTGCTTGATGGCAGAAATAAGTAAGGTGGCAGTACTTTCCTGGACGAACTATAAAGAGCTATACTGCTACTAATATTGCATATCTAACAAAACAATTTTAGTTATTTTTGGCGTAACATAATTAAAAATCGAATGTGCAGATCAATCAAAATGTTCTAGAAGATAACCGATGTAACAACGTTGAATAGTCAAGCAATCATTCGAGGTACCTAACAAGGTACAAGACGAGGTTCTAAAATCTCTCACTAGATGTCATCGGCGGCGCGGAATGTCGAAAAATCCAGTACAAAGAGTAAAATTTCGACAACTCGATAACTTGACCCGTAGCTCAGTTGGTAAAAGCAATACTACGGTGCAGTATGGCCGAGGGTTCAAGTCCCGTCGGGTCAAAAAAGTTTTACTGTGTGTTCGATCTTTGTAATAATTAATCATAACAAAAACTAGTGGAGTTAATACACAAAAAATCTCAATAATAACGTTGAATAAAATACAGAAAATAAGCTTACTTCTAAAATAAGCTCTTTCACAAGGAACTCTACTGCTACTAACAAGGAGCTCTACTGCTACTATGTTTCTCTAGGACCGGGAGAAATATTTGCATAGCCTGCATTTATTTCTCTCTTGAGTTTGAGTGTAATTTGTGGTTGTTTATGTGAGTGTCCATGGTACCCTCGATACAGGGTTTCACTAGTGCGGGGTTATGAATATGTGCATTATTTATTTATTTATATAGTGGTAGTAATTTCCTGGACAAACTTTTTCACAAGGAACTCTACTGCTACTTAACAAGTAGGTATTGGCTGGGAATAAGGCTTTGACATAAGACTGAATTTCAAACTCACTTACAAGTTAGAGGATGAGTCCCGATAACTTCACCTGGGGATTCACGTACTTTGTATGCAAAATCACGAAGACAGAGATCATATAAATTAAACATGAGATAAACTTTACAACACAACAGTTTTCTTAGAAGCATTATAGAAAAGGAGAAACGAAAAGAGACAGAGACAGGGTTAGTGTGCGTAGAGATCTATCGAATACGCCACGAATGCACTGCATGTGTGCTGCACAAACGCTGTACGTAAGGCACGCGTGCAATTAAGTGCGCCTCTGTAATGACATCTTATAATGATAAAAATAATAAAAAAAAATAATAAAAAATCATCTTATAATTTTATTTATTATGTAATTACGTCACCACACTATAAACGCACACAGTAGGTATATTTATATATATATATATATATATATTTGCTATATTTAAGTACTTTTGCGATCTATAATATAACACACAGCATTAACACAACGTACAAAGAACACATACGCAATTATTTAAGTAGTTTATTTTATTTTGCGACACACACGTCCGTCACTCATCTCAGCTCAGGGCTCATTGAAAACCAGCGCCACAGTTAATTGCGGCTGTGGCATCAGCTGAATGAAGTCCTGTTGCGTACGCCACAACCGCACACATGACAGTACAACATTTGTAGTTGTTATATTTAGTATTTTTCTGTTTTGCTCTTTGTTTGTTATTGTCTTATTTCATTATATTTTAATTTTGTTTATTACGTCTTTTCGTTTTGTTTTGCTTGTCTAAGTAGTATCAATATTTTTTTTTGTATCTATGTGTTGTGGCGTTGCAATAAATGTCTATTCTATTCTATTCTATTCTAATGCGCGCGAGGGCACGCGAACAGATCACACTACATAATTCACGTGTACAGCTCGCGAGCCATTCGCAAACGCGCGCATTTGCCACATTTGTACGCACCCTTTCACGTAGACGATGTTATTTAGATCAAATAGGGTGTGAGGAACGACCTCTTTCATCGTTAGCCCTCCTTCTTATCACCCTTTTCTCTGGTTCCTGGCCACTTACTTTTGGAATTTTGAGTCGTTCTTTAATCCTTTTCCTTCATCATTCTTACTTTGCTTCGTTCCATCGTCACGCCCATCAAATTCTAGAGGAGGAAAGACGTGAACTTCAACCAAGTAAACCTAACTGCTTTAAAGTAGAGATGAAACGGATAGTTATTTGGCCGGATACCGGATACTGGATATTCGGCGAGCCCTAGGTCGGATAGCCGGATATCCGGCCGCCGGATATCGCCGTGATTAATTGATTAGTGACTGATTGCACTTAACATTGAAAAGAAAACCTTATACGTTTCATCATTGTAAGTACACATTGTATTTGAACTTCAAATCGATCATTTCCGCAATCCTTTCATTTGGTCATCTGGCAAGTAGTACTTAAAATTTAACAAAATTTACAAGAGTTTATAGTGAAAAGCAGCCCTCTAAAGCTGGTCTCGTTTGTGAAAATAAATAGAACCAACTTTTACCACTTAATGCAGAAAAACTGGACTTCATCCACCATAATTTGCCTTTATTGAAATTTGAGCACTAAATTTACAGATAGCGTTATCTAACTCCATAGTTCTTTCAGTTACAATCAATAAACCGATTGTCAATGATCCTGTAGTTACTGTTTATCCTGTTACTATCATCTTTAATCAATAAATCAATTTATTTTACGTACTGATTATGAATTTTTCTCAGTTTTAAACATCCGGTATCCTGCTGGATATTGTTCTACTATCCGGTAACTATACGGTATCCGATACCGGATAGTTACCGGATATACGTTTCGTCTCTATTATAAAGCAACAATAAATATTACATACGAATACAGGCCCTTTTGGGGCAAGTTCATTTACGTTTATGTGTAATCTGTAGAGTGTTTTATATTATTGTACCTGTTTTTATACCACTGCGCTATTTTCTTTTCTTCACCTTTTCCCTACACGTTATTTATACCTACTACAATAGAATTCATGTGGACTGAGCGTTATTCTCATTATTACGCAAGACCCGCGTGACAAGGGGAACTGTAATACTTACAATCGTAAAGATATTGATGTTGTCTTACTTTTCAGAAATGTGATAGTTGACTAAACACTTAAAAAAAATAATTATTCAGAAACATTTCACATTGGTGGTTCGATTTATGTACTACAAAATCATTTATAACTTTAGTTAAACCAAGGCATAAACGAAGTTTAATTCTATTAGGTGATTCTTGGGCAATTACTTCTTTTGAAATTGTGTGGATTGAGCATAAGATACTATTTGTTTTAACATTTAAAATTTGCACTAATGGTGATCTGTACCTAATTAAAGATGATAATTACACACAAATATAAATCTTTACTTTTATCTTTTTACAAATGGAAAGATTGCCTTTATAATTGTTTGAGAACTTTTACTAAATGACAAACTTTTTATAAACTTTCTTCAGAGGGTGCTCACTGAATGCATATACACCTTAAAAGTTTCCTTTCATGTAATGTGTCATGTAACCAAAGTAAAACTGATGAATAAAATCAGAAACGAGTATATTCTGATTGGATGGAGGGATTTAAAGTGGCATCTATACAGGAAAAACTAAACGAAAACCAATTACGTTGGTGTGGCCAGGTAAAGCGTAAAAAAAATGTTGCCGCTTGAAACTGAAACCGCCAAAAGACAATCAGGCAGACTCCAGGCCACTTGGATTAGACCCATTTAAAGAGACATGAAGACAATCAGTGCGCTCTGAGAGACGTGTAGTCATTGACACACTGAACAGGCGATAGATTATTTATTTAAGTACACACGCCAGCACATCAAGCTCAATGTGTTGACGTATCTTGCTCCGTTGAACTGGAGGCAATTTTGGAATAAAATGTATGGTCTGATGTGCCGTTGTCCGTACAACATCGGCGCAAACATAAAGAAACTTACACTGTTTTAACATATAAATGTTTATACGGTAACTTGTACCACTTCAGGTGTATACAGCACTTTGATACTTCCTATGAAATCTACGTCAACGTCATCTGAAATAAATTCAAACTAATCTAATAAATTACAATTTAAATTAATTAATTCGTTAAAAATTAATAAATTAAAATGTTAGTGGACCCGATCGATGTTAGAATCAAAGTGAGGGCGCGCAGCGTCACTTTGCCTGGTGGGTTCAGCATGAGCTGCGTCTGTAGTTTACTTGAAGTGCACGTTTTCTAGAATTCGGTGCCATGTGCATTGTGGTCTTGGTCAGCAAGTTGCCATCGGGGTTGACAGATAAGACTAATATTATGCTCCCCGAATTTTATGAAAAAAAAGAAACGAAAAACAAAATTCGAAAAAAACGATAAAAACGAATTATGTGAAAAAAGAAATAAAATAACAAAAAATAAAATCAGAACAGGTCCAAAAATTAAGTTGGCATAGTGTTCTATGGAGGTATCGAATTACGCAAGGTAACATCAAAAACTTCAATTTAAAAAAATAATATATAGAAAAAACCTACTATCTAAGAGATTATCAAACAAAACCCTAAGGGTCGTATTCCAGAACTGTACTCAATGCTCTAGTCAGGATTTGAGCAGACTTGAGTATGATTTCAAGCACTGAAAATAGGACCCTAATGGAAAGGACTTGAGTATGATTTTCATTGCTCACTGCAATACTCAAATCAGGACTTGAGTATTGAGTAGAGTTTTGAAATACGACCCTAAGACTTCCTCCCTTAAAACAGTTGCGACATTTCGTTTAAACTTATATATTAGGTTGCACTCATAGATACATAGAACAAGTCGTGCGCCTGGTGATAAGCGACACGCCTATTCATTACAATTGCAGTATCATTCAGAGCTTTAAACCACAAAGATCTTATGGGCACTGCGACTGTCGACCTGATACATAAGTTGACAAGCCCCATGTGCCTATAATTTCACCAGCACCCTTCTAAACCAGAACGCAGTAATGCTCACATTACTGCTTGGCGGAGGAAATAGGTAAGGCTACAAAATGTCTTATAATACAATACTAGGTGTAATCGTCCCGTAGCTTGTATCACCCACCAGGATCTTGTACTAGTGTCACCAGTTTACAACCCACGTCTTGTGTTCATCGTCTACCACCTCGCTGAAAGAGTAAATAATAAAAATAAAATGTTTCTTTATTTAGGTGTATACGTGTTTGTTTAGGTGTATGGGTGTATACCCATTAACAAATTTAACAATTCTTTTTACAGTACGTAACAATTAAATTAAATTTTATTAACCGAATATTATTATTATTAATGAAGTAAATAATTAACAATTACATTAAATTGAATTTACGTTACAAATAATATTATAATTCTAGTAAATTTATTTATATTTAAAAAATGGAGTGTTCGCTTACAAAGTGACACGTATCGCATACTGTCCTTATAATTATATTGGCCGAATCGCTCACTCTCATACGAAAAGACCAATGTCTCTTTTGTATTATGGCGAAAAAATCATCTACTCTATTCACGGCAAACATGCCCGACAAAATATTAGATTTTATATCTATTTCACAGATTTCGTCGCGGCTTCAAGCAGTTCTTCTGGTGCTGCGGCGTGTTAGGCGGCAGCAGACTGAGCAGGCACCGAGCGTTTGGCCCGGACCGGCTGGACCGTTCAGTTCGATCCATCTCGCCCAGCCGGAAAAACGGTACGAGTAAGTTCGATACAATAAAATTTTAAATATGATAGCTATTTAGGTAGTTGTTTTCTCATTCCATTTGTATTGTTATAATAACATTGTTTTGTTTTGTTTATATTCTCATTATACATCGTATATATTTTCTCATTAACAAACATTAAATGTCTTTTTCTACCCGTTTAAATTATTTTTGTAGAAACTCTTAGATACCATTAAAAAGATATTGAAATAAATAATAACAGTAAACTCCCTCGGAACACCTCAGCGAACTTAATTTTGGTTAACCGACAGTCAAATTGTCCGGAAATCGGGTACCAAGTACATGGATATACAAATAAGGAATTCCCTGTACAAATGACGCTAAAGGTCATTCTAAATTTAGCCCATGTACAAACGCTATATATTATGTACATGTCAAATCATCTCAGTACAGATAATTAAAAATACCGCATTAAAAGTTCACGGAATTACATCTATTTGATTATTGAAATCGGTTACCGGAAAGTGCGCGAAACCGAATACGTCCTCTAGTTCGTCACCCTTAAAGGTGGAATTTTTTTCTTAAAATTTAAATGGGACTAAAACTGGGGTATTCAATAAAAAAAGAATCATAGGAAATGAAACTATTTTTCCGGATTTAAATCGCGTATATTTGCTTTTTCAAACAAACCGACGTTTCGGGCTCTTTACAGGTCCCATGGTCACGGTTGACCGTGCGAAAGTATGTGTAACAATCGCGAAAACCTAAGAACTCGGTAAAAAAAGAATCATTGAAATCGGTTCACAAATTTTGCCGGAGTTATCGCGTAACATATATAAAAAAAACAGTGGAATTGGGAACCTCCTCCTTTTTCAAGTCGGTTAAATATAGGCGAAATGTAAGTTAATTCTGCTTTTTTTTTTCAATTGTTAAATTTTGTTGTAATGAAACGCTATCACATACACGTTACAAAATATTGCATTACAATTAAACTAACACATTATTGATGGGCGATAAATGGCGATAAACATTATAGGACTCACAGTCTACTTGACAATGGAAATGTATCAGAATTAACTTACATTTCGCCTATTTTCGTATATGTACATAATAAACAGCGTTTGTGTATTGGCTAAATTCAGAAAAATTACTAATATAGCATCTACAAGTATTAATAAATGGCGTGGGCTACAGACAATTCTCCACCGTCGCCATAATTTTTGTTCTTTTAAACTAATAAAATGCATGTACGTCAGCCGTATATTACAGTGGGTAATATCATAATGAAAGAAAATATGATGGCTTGGCTACAGACCTGGGAACGTCGAGCTCAAAACACTTCAATTTCAAATTATATGTCTTTATTTCTTAGGTAAGACAGTCTTATTGATTGGACGATTTGTTGCACTGATTAAACACAGCTATTCGTTCATAAGGCAGATTCCCTTGAGAAAAATTAATGACTGCCTCCGTGGCCGAACGGTTACCGTGCTGCTCTACCACGCAGAGGTAGAGCAGCAAGGTAACCATGGTGGCATGGAGGTATGATTCCAGCGCTGGGAGAAATATTTGTATGGCCTACATTTATTTCTCTCGTAGGTTTGAATGTAATTTGTGGTTGTCTAGTCTGTGTAAGGGACCCGTGATACAGGGTATGTCTAGTGCGGGGTTATGAGAGTGCATGTGTTAAAAAAAACTTTAGGAGTTTCTCTTTGTAAATACACATTTATTCGTATTTATAATTACACTATTTATTTCAAACATAAGCAGACAAAATCTGAAAGCACTAAACGGGTCACTACTAAAAGTTTGTTTGTTTTTTAATAAGTTAGTAGTAAATTTTCGATATTTTTCAAATATTCTGTTTTTATTAAAAGCTTATTATAATTATCGTAACATCATTTTAGTCTAGGTACATACTTGTGCAATTATCTGAATAGAATACTTATAAACCTAGTTAAAGTAGTCGAAAAGTTGATGTGACTGTACCGCTCATGTCGCTTAATTGCTTGCTTTTTCACTATTTGCAAATAATAATCGGTAATTGCATAGCTTTACTATAAATACGTATTCTACCCAAAAACAATTTACAAAAATATTACATTGATTTTTTTGATATGCTACAAAAGTCTACGGACGTAGCACTTATTGCTACGCGGCCGTAGCAATTGTTGCTACGTAGATTTTTGTAGCATATCAAAAAAATCAATGTAACCATTGACTTACAATTAATGGACGACGGGTCTAATACAAAAACCACGAAAAAAATGTCCCAAGTCAACCTATTTAAACGTAGTGACATGTCAAGGAATATGAAAAAGCTAAAACGTTGAATTTAAATTGTAATGCCATCGCAGTACTATCTAATTTTGCTTGCTTCGCTATCAGTCGAACAAACGAAGACTAGAGCGTGAATGACGCTCTGTATACGATTTTAACGCCCTATAAGTTCGGACACTTTTTAGCGCGGACCCGACGTCCATATAATTGCAAGTCAATGAATGTAACCTAATATTTTTGTAAAATGTAAATTTATTAGTGCTACGTCCGTAGCACTTCTAAATTATCAATACCAAAATTCTTGTCGGTGCAATACAATACAAATTAATTATAAAATAAACATGTCAAATAGGTCCGCTTGTCTACAGACGCCTATGGAGTACACCTCTAGCTGCAGGCCACTTAAATAATTTCAAACTCAAAGAGAAATGGTGTCTCGCGGTACCTACGTAACTTAAATCTGCTATCCCCCGCCCCTTCGCTGTTACGTCCCCTTCAAAGATTACGCCTCCAGGAAACACTCTTCACCAACCTTGACAAATCGCACGACATTCACTCTCCACACTAAATTGTAACTTGCGGAACTCACAGATAATAATAATAACAATTTATTTAAATTCCAACAAACATTACATATTTGTTATAAAATAAAAATTGTGACACATAATAAACATAACTTAATTGAATTCAAATTATAATTATAATATTGTAATAAAAGTTATACTAAATTTATATTTTTGAAAGTGAATTATAAGATTATGTGAAAATTATAAGACTTAAGATTTTTTTGAACCATTCAAGTGGTTTAGAACCCCTTCGAGTAAAAGCCTCCTCTGATGGCCCCCAATGTTCACGGTTCTCCGCGACATGCAACCAGTCTCTGCCTGCCGTCTTCACCAGTATATCGGCACATCTAGCGCACGGGCGACGTCACGCTTGCGACTCTCGTGGACCATCCCACTTGACATTAGTCGTTGTCCACCTTTTATCTCTGTATCTGGCTATGTGACCTGCCCACTACCACTTAGTCTTTGGAGCGAATGTTAAGGCATCACTTACCTTTGTTTTATGAAGGATGTCAACATTTCTTACTCTGTCCTTCAGCTTTATACCTAAGCAACTTCTCTGCATGGTTTGGATTTTTTTTTACCAAAAAATAAGTGTGCATTTGACCTCCATCTCACCTGATAGAAAATGATGATGAGGTCGACGATGTAGCATGCACACCTAAATATTGCCTATTCGCTCTCACCTTGAAAAGGTCCAAGTTATAGCGTTCGGGGAACACGTCCGCAGGCAGGCAATTCGGCTCCCTGGCCGCTAGCCATATAAATGTGGAAGCAAAACGCTTCGTGCAAATCCTGGGAATATCCACAACATAGGGGTGGAATCCCAACCCACGTCTAGTCCCCCGATAATGGAAAGGGGAAGGCGGAATCAAATTATACAATTTCATCGCACACTCTCCGTGATATATCCTGTAGAATACCGATAAGCAGACAACTTTACGACGGTGTTCAAGACTCTGCAGCTTCGCCTCAAGTAATTCTGAGTCACCTATAAGCCTTTTGCCACGCTTATCGATTGAATCTAAGGTGGTCAGTTGGTATTTAGCAGAGCCATCCCGTAAGTGACAGCAGTACTCCATACAGGACCGGACTGGTGCTTGGTACAGCTGAAGCAACTGTCCGGTGTGTAGTAATGCCTCACCTTGGAAAGGATGCGAAGCTTCCTGGCTGCACTTTTGGACGACAGGTCCATTCCAAGTAGCTGGAAACGGTCGGCTATCGGTATATTTTACCACAAATACCGGCAGTTAATTTCACTCCTTTGCATGTATCAGCAGAGCGCTTCGAGCGGATATGTTGTAAATCAATGACAGAAGAATGGAGTGCCTGGAGCACATTCTTGTACTACGTTCTAGTAGTCGAAGGAAGGACGGTGCGAGTGGAACTAAATTGTAAATTTCCTACGCACACTCTTCTAAATGTATCCGAAAGAAAACCCACTACCTGGCCACTTTTTTGCGGTGATCGAGAGGTACTCATTCTGCCCTGTTGCACGCTCACTGGCGCAAGTATCCCCCCAACAGTTCAGTACTAACCTGGGCGTACAGCCTGTCACTATTACACGAAGCCTTCAACTCGTCCTTTTGTCGGATGTTACAGGCAAGGCCAATAGCGGTTAACTCCTAAATGAACTTCAGAAAAAAAATTGAGAAAATCTACACAGCTATTATTATCTGTAATCACTATCTGTAGGGTCACATTCTTATTGAAACGAATATATTTGTATTTTATATTGTACATTGTGGTACATCTGCCGCTCTCGTCCTAATTGGAAAGAGTGTAATAATTTTTACTGGCAAATTGATATAAAATATCCAACAAAACTATCAAAAACTGGATTTTGAAGTTTGAGGTTATCGAAACGCCCGACATCGTTACAAAATCTATTTTAAATTGTATTGTAAAATGTGGTTGGAATTTTGGATTTTTACAACTTTCATTTCATGAATTGTTATTCATTTTCAATTAAAATTCATTTAATTTAACATTAACTGACAGATTAATTTCAATTTACAATATTTGTTCATGAAGAATAAATAAGTAGATTTAGATCTGTATTTACATTATTTAATAGAAATTGTTGATTTTCATCTCGCTGTCACAACATTTCAAAGATATTAAATTATTCAGTGCTATAGAATAAATCCAAGGCATTTTGTAATGAAAATAATGTATTCATGGAAGGTACTCTATCGACTATTCAATGTCCGGT